GATAATTGTGCAACTCTTACCCAACATTTCTCTATTTTAATCCCTAGTTCATCTTAAATATTTTTAAGCAACAAACAGCTCAGCGCTTTCGTGTTTGTGCGGCTGTGCATAACATAAACAAAGCTGAATACTTGTGCGGCGAGCGGCAGCAGAGCAGGCCCCGACTGGAGAGAGGGAGGAGAGGAACGATGAGAGAAAAGTGTTACACTAAGCCGCTAATGTTCAAGTCTGCACTGGCTCTGCCAAACCAACACCATCCTCCAATGGCAACACTGACACACTAAATCCCCAACACTGAAATTGATAACAAAACACACAGGTGACGGGTGATGATGGATCGAGGGGAGTGTTTGCACGAAGTCCTTTGTTGTCGTTTTGCTTTCTTCAGAACTGATATTGTTACCGGGAATCACTAAATACTGGTCGCATCCCAACATGTTCTGATGGGAGAGTCCCACCATCAGTATCCGTTTCTATCAGGCACGTGTTCTTGCACGAGGAGTCTTGGCAGACATTCTCCCGAAGCTGACAGGATGTGACAAATGATTTTGATTAAATGGCTGAAATCCACTTTTTGATATCAATAGGACTATTGTTATGAAATCAAAGCATATGCACATGGCAATAAAAGCTGAAATTATCTGAAGGTTTATTAGTATTTCAATTATTCTGGGTCCATTTTGACAATCAAAGACACGCACACACACACGTTTTGGCAACCAATTTCCTGCACATTAGCAGTCTGTCACAAGCAGCTGCCACACACCTACAGACACACAAGCGCACACCCACACGTACAACACATCATCATCACCACTCAAGTTGACAGTATTTGTACTTTGGAGACGCCAGTCTGTTTCAAATCCTCTCTTTATCTAATTACTCTCCTTCAGCTTATTATCAGCATTTCTCATGTGTGAGCATAAAACAACACTACACACACTTCCATCGCTGAACTCTAATCGGGCTAAATCACAGCCTGTATAATTACCATGATGACTACTTTCTTCATGGAGAAATGTTCACTGTGTGACTCATGTTAATGTAGTTGAATTTCAGTTTTACCTCCCACTTTTCGCAACAATTAAAAGACAAACATTTCTCATCAACTCTGACAACTAGGAACTGTAGCTACCAGAAAATCAGACCTTCCCAACCTGGGCTGTTTGCACACGAACCAGGGTGTGACCACGCTAACACCAGACACTTTAAGATTAACACATTTCTTTCAAAAGAATATTAAAAGCTTAAAGGTCCCATGTCATGGCCATTTCTACTGATCATAATTCCATTGTTGAGGTCTACTAGAATAGATTTATATTGTGCAATTTTCCAAACTCACATTGGTTTCTCATACAGCATCTCTGTATAGTATGTGTATTCACTCTCTGTCCTAAACGCCTTGTTGGAGCTCCTGCCCGCCCCCTCCCTATGAGCCCACTGTGCTCTGGTCAGCTCGCCCACTCTGTTCTTTTGAGATCACCACCGTTACAGCGGAACATCAGTGATTATGTGTTACAATGGCGTTTGCAACCAGAAAATGACACCAGTAATGACAAACAGATGAGAATGCTGCGTGGGGTCTGGGGGCCGTGTTGGCGATATGTTGCGCGGCTCGCTGCTGCGAGGAGCGGACAGTGTGAGCTGGGTTCATTTCCTGCTTGCTGTGTGGGGTCTGCGAGACATCGCGAATGGACCAATGGGTCCATTTGGGTATGGGCACGTCACCATACCCAGGAAGAAAAAGATAAATCTCCAACGAGGCGTTCTGGGGCAGCATAGACAGGTCTTTTCTGTGTTAGAGTTTTACTCGCTACAGGGTGTACTTTGAGGGTTTGTGACTCTGCAGACCGTTTACATGCAGAAAAAACCTTCATAACACACAAGGGGACGGGTAATAACCAGAAAAGCATGACATGGGACCTTTATGTATTTCACAAAAAGAAATTATGTTTTATAATTGTACCACACTTATCTTAAAGCTAATTTTAACCATCAATATTTTTGGAAGATCATAGTAAACATATGCCTACAGCCAGCAATTATCCATTAGCTTAATAGGCTATAGCTAGGCACAAAGACTGTAAATGGGGGCTTATATGAATGTATAAAGCTTTTTAGTTGTGTAATCCAACATTTTACAGTTTATTTGTTGATGTAAAATATTTGTAATGGCTTCCACTGAAAGGAAGTAGTCATGTACCCAATGTACTGTTAGCATTTGTGAGCTTAAGCAGTGCTAGCAGGTGGAATTTGCTACTTTTGGCTAAGCAAACTAGTTTATCTGCTGTAGCTTCAGATTTATGATACAGACATAAAAGTGGTATAAATCTTTTCATCCAACTCTTGGCAAGAAAGTGAACTTGGTTTCCCCCCAAAACTATTACTTTTAAAACCCTAAAACATAAAACATGTTGGTGTGGTAAAACATTAGCAACGAGCCACACTACTACAAGCTTGCCTATGAAAGGCCTTTACAGATCCAAACATTTCCACTTTCAACAAACGGTAAAAGCTTTTGAAAACAACATGGACAGATTTCCATGTCTCATGTAAATGATGGAGGAGGGCCAAATGAGAACCAAATCCGATAGGAAGCCTGATCTTGTGGTTCTTTGTTCTTAGACAGCAGGTGTTATCTGTATTAGCAAATATACACATGCATCATCAGAACGGATACAGGTGGGAAATGACGCAGTAATCCAATTACAAATCAATCCAACTTGTTTGTTAAGGAAGCTGCAGCCCTGAGTAAAAAACAGTACAAATAAATACTCCCTGTAATTAAATTAATCGAGCAATGGTGCAATGTCTTTGAGATCGAGGGGTTTTATTGCTTTTTAGCCTATAGGTTGAGTTAAAGGCTAATGGGAAAAGAAACTAAACAAAAGGAGTCTTACACAAGGCAAACACTCAAGGAACTTTCCTTTGAAGAATATTAAAAGGAAGATTAAAAAAGAGCACCTGAAGGATTTCTCTTGACACATGTGCTCCCCTCCTTTTGTCTTCCCCTTTTATTTTTTTCCAGGTTTTGCACAATTGCACATGGGAGAGGTGAATGGCTGCCTGTCAGCCTGCTGCGAGCCTCCATTGAACACACACACACACACACACACACACACACACACACACACACACACACACACACACACACACACACACACACACACACACACACACACACACACACACACACACACACACACACACACACACACACACACACACACACACACACACACCACACACACACACACACACACACACACACACACACACACACACACACACACACACACCACACACACACACACACACACACACACACACACACACACACACACACACACACACACACACACACACACACACACACAACACACACACACACACACACACACACACACACACACACACACACACACCACACCCACAAAACACACACAACCCACACACAACACACAACACACACACACACACACACCACACACACACACCACACACACACACACTTTGTAGCCAAGTGCTAAGACGTCCAATTCAAAGCCTGAATGTAAGGAAATGCACTATATACACGCAAGTGACTGCTTAATGAAACAAACGAAACATCAGATGGATGTTTGTTCTGCAGAACAGTCGGACCTTTTTACTCTGAGCTGAACCAGGAACAATCGCTCAGCCATGTAAGCAAAGTTTATAAATGTGACTGATAGCCACGGTAACAATTTTGCATTTATATGGCGCTATCAAAAGGGCAGCCGATCCAAACCCAAGTGCTAACTTAAAAAGCCAGCCATAAACCACAGTGACATTTGCATGCTCATTGGCCATTCAAAGGGCAAAGCTGAAGGAGTGGCTTCACAACATCGAGTCTGAGAGTCACATCACAAAAGTCTTAAGTTAATGAGGTGAGGCTTAAGTTGGCCTTGCATTGCCAAGGCTTGAGTGTTCAGAGAGCTTAATTCAGAGTTTTTACTTTGCTTGATGAAATGTCAATGTCTCAGGAATACGAGGCTTAAATGTGATACAGTTGTATGAATCACATTTGGTAATAGTAAATGTTTGTTTACATTTGGCTGATCACACATGGGATTACAAGACACTGCTTTATGCAACATCTTTTCGCGCATAAAGTAGGGCTGAAACAATTAATCCATAAATCTATAAAAAGAAATTAGTCCTTTAAAATGGATGCAGGTTATGTGAATTTACTGGTTAGACTCCTAACTATTTCTTCCTTACATATAGTAGTACAATTGAATATTCGTGGATTAATTGAATATCCACAACTTTCTCTGCTTTTAAACAAACATTATATAAAAATAAACCAAGTTGACTTTCCAACATGAAGCCGTTTGCTCCCTGACCAGCCTCCCTTTGTGTTGTGTTATCTCTCAAACCATCACACTGTTGTTCTGTATGTGGCGACTCTTAATGAGGCGAATCAGGCGACTCTCAGAGTTAGCCTCTATGCAAGTGAACGGCAGCGTGACAGGAAGGGGGGTGAGGTTGCTGTCCTGAACCCGGGATAGTGTTACCTCCACGTGTGTCAGATCTACCTGTCCTGACCGGATCCAGTTACACACCAAAACACACACTGAGTCCACCTTACACAACATGTGGGTCAGTGCAGAGCAAACACGTGTGGAGAGCGGAGCACCTTAAGGAAGGACACTGAGGTGTACATTTCCAACATGACGCTATCCTTTAAGGAAAAAACTCCCATCACCAACTTCCTCCTGCAATTATTCAGCAGCATCATGCTTATTAGTGTGCACTGGTTGCCATGGATACAGCTTCTGTGATAGAGGGTGAGGGATGAAGTGAGGAAGTCCCTCAGATCTGTCAAAAAAAGTTTAGTTCTGCACACACTCTTGCCTAACCATCTTGCATAATCAAATGGATACATATATATATATATTTGATTTTGGAGACCTGGAGGAGTTGAAAATGCAAACTTTGAACCTGCAGAAAAAAAAAGTAATGGCACTTTCTCTCACCTTGAACACCTCTGAGAAGAAGCCAGCGCCGATCTTCTCGCAGGTGAAGTCATCCAGGCGGGCCAGGCTGGACACGGCGCTGCGCAGGGCCCGGTACGAGGACGGCCGGATCCGGTTGGTCCCGTGGACGCTGTGCATGGGCGGCTCTGCCTCCCTCTCCTGCTCCGGCTCGACCCTCTCCGTCTCCATCTCCATCCCGGTAGGAGGCGGGAGGAGGACGTGGGAAGTGTGCGTAGTTACAATCCAGCCCGACTACTGTTTACATTTCCCATGTCCACCACAAGGCCACAGCGCAGGGGGTGAGAAACTCTCAGTTTGGGGTGAGAAACTCTCAGTTTGGGGAGGGGGGGGGGGTAATGTCGCAGCTGTGGTCAGGCTGTGTCACAAATTCCTGAACAGCCTGTCTAACAAAGTACGCACGCGCCTAGGTGCATCCTGCAGAGTCAGTGCGCAGTTTGGGTGAAGTCCCTCATGCCGTGCAGCAGAGGAGGCTGTGCCGATTTGGAAACTGCGCACACTGCTGCTGCTGTCTTGGCAGTGAAGTCTCTCTCTCTCTTTTTCCTCCTCTCTCTCGGTTCCCTTAAGTCTGCTCCTCCTGCAGTGAAAAAGGCCGGGGCTCCCCTCGTGGTTCCACCAATTGAATCCCGGGTTTCCAGTGCGCACAGTGCTGCCTCCGTGACGCTGCAGCCTATTAAAGCTAAAGAGGGGGCAGAAAGAGGGGCGTTAATACACTAAATCATAAAGTGTGTGCATATGAAAATCCGACACTACAAACTCATACTGGCTGAATCTATACAACTTTTCAAATGTATGAAACATCATAATGCTCCTTTTTTAGACGTCACAAGATCTGACGCACGTTGCACAGAGGCATGATGAAGCTGTTTTAACGCCACTCAAACATTGGGCTTTATTACCATGAAGGCAAACAGGATCAGAATTCAATGAGGACATGGTGAAAACAATAATGTCATTACAAATAAATCAATCAGAGTGGCCTAAATGAGAGTGTGCTATCTGCTCTCCAGTGATAACAGCCCTGAATGCAGCATGATATCGCCTCTTATTGTTATTACTGCACTTTGCACACACAGGGAAGCCTTAAAGCTGATCCAATCACCCGGCTGTATTCATGGCTGCTGCACTAATGCTCGCTCAGTCACAGTATTATTATTGGGGGTCTCTAAAGAGCGCCTCTTGAAGATGCTCTGCAGGAACCTGCGTGTCCACACTGCCTGACTGCGGCTTGTGAATTATGGATGCCGAGGTGAGAGGAGTTTGTGGGCTCGTCTGTCACGAACTCCAGTCCCCTTACGGATACTCATAATTCACAGTCAAACCGAAAAAACGCTGACGCACACCATGCACCGACGCGTGTTCGCCCGCAGAGGAGGACTCACCTGGCCTTCTTCTAGGGACATAACCTCCACATGTGTCCTCTGATGAGACCCGGAGTCCGGATCGTCCTGTTACCGGAGCTCTTGTTTTACTAATTCATCATCTTTGTGCGCAGGCTTCACGCACGCGGGCTCCGGTGGTTTCGTTTTACGTGCCCGCGCTGCCTGCCTCGCTGTGGGCTCGGTTGCATGAAGGAAGAAGGGGAGCGGTGACTTTTGCTGTGCTTTATTGGAGGCGGCAAGAAGGGGGCGGGACCAACACGTGATCACAGCAAAAAATGCACCTGGGGGACGTTGGAACCGGCCCCCCTTTTTACTTGATTATCATGGTTGTGTATCATAGCTATCAACATTCTATTTAACTAGAAAAGATTCAATAATAATAACAATAATAATAATAATAATACTTAGAATTGTAGTAGTAATAATAATAAAAACTATCTGGATTCATTATGCTGAAGTTGTATATTTGTTTGTTAAAATATGTATTTGTGTCTAGCTTCTTTAGCGGTCTAGGGGCCCTGGTGCAACAATTAGCAGTAGGGCCCCTTTGTATAGACCACCATCTTAATCCTGTGTAACGTGTTTCCTCCAAGCTCCAATTAAAAAGTGCAGGCAGAGGACTATATAAAACACAACTCAATTTATTTGGGAATATTTAGCATGTAGGCTAAGCACAATAATAATAGTATATTATTAATCATTTCAACTGATGTTGTGACAGAGGCCAGGGCCTGCTTCAGTTAATAATGTGCTTAATTAGAGCAAATTAAGAAATTATTATTCAAGCAAAACTCTATGAAATGACTGCTCAACAAGGGGTGAGGTGCTCATTCTGGAAGTATACTTAAAAGAAGGAAGAATTTGCACGATACATTTCTGATTTTAAGAGAAATGCATATTGAGCCAGTAAGAGAGCCAGGACAACACTTTATTTCTGCTATGAAGTAACATGCGGTGAATCTTGTGATACCCAGTGGAACACTTCGACCAAAAACTGTTTTTCAGATTGTTTTCAAATGCTAAATATTAGATTTCTTTGAGAAATATTCAAACTTAATAGAGAATTATGCAACCTGTGAAGGGGGTTCAAAGAAGCATGGCAGCACTGTTAAGGGTTGGAAACTAAAACAGTTTGAAACCAGATGTCTACCTGATGTCTTGCAAATACACCTTAGACTTGAAACTAGTATTTATTAAACTCATTTGAAGACTGAGACTAAAAAGGCAATAAAAGGCTCCTAGCTCCCCTCATGACTGACAATAAACCTGCTGAGTAGAAACAGTTCAAATACTGTAGATCTGCCCTATGTGAGACATCTAAGACGTTATTAAATAAGGGCATAACAAATAATTGGCAAGTACAGTTGGGATGTGTCGCAATTATTCCTAACTGGCCTGAATGATAACAAATCTACAACAAAATATTTTATATATCAGTTCAAATGAGGCTCCTTTAATGGCCTTTAATTATTTTATGTTTTGTAGCTGCTGCATAAAGCCCTTTTCAAAACCGAGGCTGCAACGTGCTTCACACAAAGATGGAAAATGTGTCAAATGGAGAACATTATGTAACGAGACAAAAACAGGCCCAGAATAAAATAGGTAAAACCTCATTCTAGTGATACAAGATAAAAGAAAATCTAAGAAAACGGAGATGTTTGTGTAAGGAGAGATTTAAAAGATGACTCAGGCTCAGGCGAGGATATTAACGCTCTTTACAGCTGATTGTGAAAATTGCACGGGGAACCCAAAATGTGCCTCGAAGCCAAAGACCCATTAAAAAGTGTGTTATACAGCGAGAAGTCATCTCACACCACACCGCCACATACTCAGAGAGATGACACACCGTTAACACATTGGGCTGGAGGTGTGTGATGAGGTCCTCTGTACAGATCTGCAGTCTCTCTGCATTATTTATCAATCTGTTTATAGGCTCTGTCCTGAAGCCAGAGGAAAAACACTAAAGTCACACCATTGTTGCTGATAATAATGTGTACTATTTATTATTTATTGTACCGATCACTTATTCATCACACAGATTGTTATATCTGTCCAAGTTGGGCTTCAGTGAGCATGTGTACAGGGATTATCTGCAAGCATTCATGCATGTGTGTGTGTAGGTGTGTGACAGGAGATTATGTTGACTCCTGCTGACCTTTCAGACGAGGCTCAGGGTTAATTTATCACCCAGAGGGGCTGTATATTCCCGGGCAGAGATTTTTCTCTCATGACTTTCTATTGTCTTTCATTGACCGGCCGCTCAAATAACTAAACTTTGTGTGTGAAGAGCAAACAACGAGACAATCCCTACACGAACTTTACGGCAAATGCTGAACAATGGCTAGTTGATAATCCCTTTATGTGAAAATGTTAAGCCTCAGCTGTACTCTGTGTTAAATGGTAAACAGCATTTATTTATTCATATGTCGCTTTTTCCAGTCTTTGCGTCCCCTCAAAGTGTTTTTACGTATACATGTCAGCATTCACGTTCGTACAGTGGCAGAAGCTGACATACAAGGCTCAGAAATAGATTCACACACAGATGGTAAAGTATCTTGCCCAAGAAAAACATGGGGATCGAACCACCACCCTTCAATTGGTGGCTTTACCTTCTGAGCCACATTCCCCCAGTGCCAAGAAGTAAATGTTAGCATGCTAGCACGTTAAACTAAGATGATGCACATTTTAGTTTCTTTTTCTGAAATTTTGTAAAGGGGAACACGTGTTACAGGACAAATTCTGTTATCAGGACTTGGTGTGTATTACTAAATAGAAAGAAAGCGTCACTCCCTTTCCAGTGCCCCTCAGGGGATTTTTTGGGGGGAAAAATAAATAAAATGTGTGTAAATCCCTTTGTAGCTCCACGATGTGCAACATCTGATAAAGTGCCTCATGTGATTTCCTTTGAGGCACAACGGTTAGGCCTGAAGACTGCAAGTGTGGAAATGAATATTTGGTGAAAGAAGTGTGTTTAATACTTCAGACCTCTGCAGACCTCATCTCTGGCTCCATGCTGGCTTCTCACTTTGTCAAAAGTTCCTCTGGGGGGAACAAGAAAGACAACACCTCTGCTGCATCAATTTTGATTCTTTAAAAATGTTTCTTGAGTGCCATGATTTTGTAGAAGTGGAATGCACAATCCTAAATGAAGCCCATAAGGTCGCTGAAAGCCTGTCTCCATCTTGATGAATGGGTCGCGGGCTGTTAGAAAACCATGTTGGGACTTACTGATAGGTTGTCAATAAATCAAAGAAAACCAAAGACCCTCAAAGAAACCAATTCACCTTATTGAAAGACCTGAATCAATATCTGGTCTTTTACTAACAGACGGGCTAACTCAGTATTTATCTAAGAGAGTATATCTCTCTATATCAGCAGCTTGAAAATCCTCAATCTCTTATAATTTATTTTGTCTCCCAATTCTAGCAAGACCAGGCTGAAAAGTAATGAGTCCATCTTTCTTTTGGTCTCACGAGGGACCAAACAAATGTATTTTAATGAGGCTGGCTCTCATTCAGATCCCCTGCTGAAAAGTTTGAACAACACCCGGCAGGAAGTGGATCAATAACACGCTCCTGCTCGGATCCCCTTATGATAGTTAATTATGTCCAAAAGTGATCCACAAGCTGATAGGAACATCGATTCAAAGAGAGCTTTCCATTAAATAACTTCCGCTTGCAGAAACAAGTCTCACTCACTTTTGGTTTTTACTTATTTTCCATGCAAAAAGATGCTTGTATGTCTGGAAAATGTAAAATTATACATGCTCTACAGCCTCAAATCTGTACAGCGCTCCAGTCGGGACCCATGCTGGATGTACAGTGTTCACAATAAATAAAACATCCTCTCCTGCATCTGAATTTCCAATTTCCACCTATACATCCAGGTCTGGACAGTAAAATCTATATCCTGGGGGTCC